AAAAAAGAAAATGCTTTAATACATAGTCTTGATTGTAGAAAATAAATTTCATGCGTTAATATTATTAACGATTTAGGCACCGGACTAAAAAACTGTATGAAGTCAAATTATCGAAAATTCTTTACTTCGACGCTGTAATGTTGTGATTTACTTTTAGCGGATCGTAACTTCTCAATTATTAGTATTACATATCAAAGGTTGCATTCTATGTTTATTTTCTAGAAAAACTGAAAGAACTTTCACATGATATGAAGATAGGTTGCCAGGCAATGAAACATACACCCACAGCAGCCAAGTCGTTCGATCAGCCCACAAAGGTTGCCACATACATGTATTTATTCTTCTGTAGGTAATGGGAACATTGACAAAACACTAAAATCTGATCACGAGTAACAAACTATGAAGTAGTTATCTTAAATAATCAAAATGTGATTGGCTTCTAGTCTTCATGTGCATAAATTGGATGATAACTTTTGCCTCCAGAGCATCCACAAGATTTTTTCAAATTGATCAAGCGCCATAACTCTGACCATAATTATCAGCAGGTGTTGAAAATCAATAGTCTGCTTCGTCTCATGAGCAAGTACACTGTGTAAATATATCTAAAGTCAATCAGATGATAATTCTTTGCCTGCTTGTGGATGGTGGATCAATGGACAGGGGTGACGACAATATATGAGCCCACTGTGGGCATATAAAATTGTAGGTTTGGAATGTAATGGTATTGGTATTCAATGTAAATTTTCTCCCAAACTTTAAATAGCAAGCAGGGTAATTTAACACATGAATGACTTTTCAAGACATGTATCTCACTGTATATACAGTGTACTCTGTCACATCCGACATCATACGGGATCGTTACAACAATTCGGATCACACAGCGTTTCGGAATACCGAGCTTTCTCTAAAACCGGAAATACTGTAACTTCGAAAACCGGAAGTATTTTTATATTGTAGCTTCGATTATACCCTGATCTAGTGGTTGTAATATTGATGTAGTATTTGGTGGCAAAAATTTAATATTTACTTTGCTGTACGTGTCACAGATATGGGAAGGTGCATTGTCCAAAACAAAAGAATGTTACGTCGTTGACGCCTCATTTGACGATTGAGTTTTTCAAGCCAATCAGAGTAAATGGCACCTGTCATCCAAGCTTTGCGATTGGCCGACCAATTGACTGACAGGTTGATCTTGTTCTTACTGCAGTTTAAATCATCGGCAAACTTCTGTTTAAATTCATCTTTACGCTTTAATATGTCTGACACTGTAGCTCGGCCAATTGAATACTTAACGGTTTATTAACTTTAATCCTTCTGCGCAGGTCGTGGAACTTTCTCGAAATCTGCTATAAGTTGCCGCTTTACATCTAATGTCAAATCTGTTCGGGCACGCTTTGCAGGACGTTCAGACATTTTGAATACAATAATGTATAATGATTTTTCAATCGTGGCAATTTTTATATAATGACGCGGTATTTGACATGAGTAACTAAAATCAAATACCAAGCGCACTCTTACAAGAGATTATAAATTGTAAAATAATCAACAAAGAATTTATAACATTATCAAAGTAATCAACACAGACCGGCGAGTTTTAATCTCACCGATAATTGATTGGTGATTGCTTGTTAATCTTTTCTGGCTTCACACCCATTGAGTTTTAATCTCAACGATAATTGGATGCTTCACACCCACCGTTTGAAGTACGGATTATACGGTGTTAATTCAATGGAAATTATGTGACGGGACGGCTAATTGATGTCGGAATCCGGAAAATACAGAATTCGGATTTACCAGCGATTTTTTGGCTGAAGTAATAAGGAAATAAATCGGGACATGAAAATCATGTCGGATGTCACAGCAATCCGGAGTGATCTGGGCCCTTATTCACGAAAACTTAAACTAAGATACAATTGAAATTTTAAGAAATACTGCAATTCGATTGGCTGACCAGTAAAATCAATTTGCATATATCCAATTTGCATATTGGTCAGCCAATCGAATTGCAGTATTTCTTAAAATTTCGATTGTATCTTAGTTTAAGTTTTCGTGAATAAGGGCCCAGAGATCGGATGTGACAGAGTCCACTGTACATGTATTGTTATGTTCGCTACTGGTACCTAATGGGTTAAGTTAGAAAGTCTTCTATTAAATTCTTCTTTATGTTCGCTACTGGTACCTAATGGGTTAAGTTAGAAAGTCTTCTATTAAATTCTTCTTTATTTTAAATACAAGTACAGGCCCTTATAGTTGATACTGTTCAATCTGATTAAAACACAGATTTAAATTTCAACTTTTGTTTTGTTCTTAACTGCTCTATAGATGTCTCTTGTAATATAGTGCACACCTCACCTATTATTTAAATATCCTTCAAGATCCTACTTTGATGGCTACTAATATAAATGCAATGAAATTTGAATTAGGCGAAAAAAAAAGGGTTCTGTTTCCTGTAACGGATGGAAAATAGGGTAGGGTCGATAGGTAGGTAGGTTTTTTTCTTTTTTAATGCTCTACATTGTTAGATCTAGTAGTACTGTAGATCTACCATACGTCCGTAGCAAGTAGCATAAATATTCTGTGCGAAATAAATCTTCAAATTTATGTTAGGCTGAGTCGGCGCCGAGGAACATGAAGCACGAATAGATTGGTGGATGCAATTCTTGGATAAATGTTTAAAATGTATCAGAGTCTAGATTATGATTTAAATATTCTCTTAGGGGGCAAATGGACCTTTTAATCGTTCTATGCTAAATAAAAATAGCGTAGGGAGGTCATTTTTTTTTCAAGGGAAAAAACTCGCGATGAAAACTTAAAAATCATATCGTGCAGTCGCACGAAATAGGTCTGTAATAAATTTATCTTCTTTTAAATACCAATCGAGCAGATCGTATCCACCTGTTTGAAATATACGTTAACTTGTTTTTGTCCAATTGCGTGCCGTTACTTATTAGAACGAAGGTTGTGAGGATTATAGCTTTTCGGAATGTGCAGTGGTAAATCTAAACGAAACCTGTAGTCTCGATTTTCACGTCAGTTTACAATCTCGCGTCAACAGTATGGCCGTTCTTAATAATCGTTCGCTGTATAACGTTCCCGACCATTCCGATCGGTAAATGCAGATTCAAAGAACGATGGCATTTATATTCATTTATAGCAACCAATAAATAGGCATTTTCACGAATCCGATACGCTTAGAGTATTCTGAACGGTCGGTTGTTGAAGAAAATTTTTTTTTTATTTCTCTTGACACTAAAAAAAAATGGGTCGGTCGGGTTACCGAAAACAGAACATTTTTTTTTTTGGCCTTATAAAAAACAAGAGAGAGAGAGAAATGGGGTTTAACGTCCACTCGACACAAACTAGGTCATTTCGGGACTAACATATGGTCCAATTTTATTTACATAATTCGCTTGCGCGTAGGGGTCTTTAGCAGTGGGAGGAAACCGGAGGACCCAGAGAAAACCCACGAGGTTGGACAGGTGACCCTACTCCTTGCCACGTACAACCGGGGATTTATAAAAAACAAAACAAAATAGGATCTGTGTTTTAATGAGATTGGACCCCGTCTTATAAAGATATTTTGGTGTCTTCTGATGCAATTTAGAAAGAATAATGCTTAAATCAAAATTACTGAAACATTTCTCTTTCACATGGAATTACATCTGCATCTGTTTGAGTGATTGCCCTCATCTGGTACGAAGGTCTGTCCAGAGATAAACTCTGTTAGATTTACAGTTACACGACTATGGATTTTAATCCCTGTTTTTTTAATTAAATAAAAATAAAGACAAATTATTGCAGTAAATATCTTTGAAATTCTAAATGTGAGTAGGTGATGTTACTACACAAATACAGTTATCTAAAGGGTGAATAGCATAGCCTACATAATTGTAGCTTACTTTTATGTGATGATTAAGACCATACCCAATAATACTCTGGTTCTCAGTAGTTGGTTGTACACAGCAGCTACATGTAAGGTTCTATGATATAATCAGGGGCAATAATTCTGTATTATAAGTAATTATCAGAACAATAAATTTCAAGCAGATCGAATAACAACTTTCGTCGCGAGAGCATTCACAAGACCTTACAAAGTGAATAAGACAACAACTCCTGAAGTAATTTTACCGAAATTGTTGAAATTCAATAGGTTTCATTGTTTCATGATTATCCACTGCCATTTATCGGTGGCTGTGCATAACATTTGCTAAATTGCTATGGTTGTGATTTTAACAAGAAACGTATAAGATTTTTTACTGTCTGAAATATGAATGTGCAGGAATCGCTGCTTGTTTTTCTTATGAGTTATGTGGCATTTTTAGGTGACATATGATAGTGGTACAATATACCTAAGAACCAGAAATTATTTCTATATGGCCTAATTTATATTTATATATTTCTGTCAGAATGAAATTAAGAACTACTCATTCAATCAGTGAGTTTTCAACATCTCTTTTTGATGTGTATACTATAAAACAATAAATTAATGTGAGAAAGATATTAATACGCAAATGAAGTACCTCATTGAGCCACTACCCCATTTATTTGCAAATTCAATACAATAATAAACAGTGATTAATTGTGTAATAACAAATAAGATAATTAAAGTAATCCAAAAACACAATTATGTCATTATCTGAATAACTAGCATCTTAATTTTTTTTTAAAATTACAAGAAGTCACTGATGTCATTTGAGAAGAATGGGCCACTTTAATTTCAAAATCAACACATGACTGTGTTAAATTACTGTTTAGAATTATCAATAACATTGAAACAATTTAATTTAAATACACATTTATATAAATTTCACTTCCTACATGTTGCAATAATTTATTGTTTTACAGTTATCATTAATAACCAAAGACAGACTTACATTTACATAAGTTTCCTTGGGATTCTTTCAGTAGATCATGTTGATAAAATTTCATTTATGTAAAAATTTCAAGTGCAATCTTGTGCAATAATTTATCTAGGAGTAAGAATAATAACAGAAACCTACCAGCTGGCACCATTGACATAAGCTGATCTGATAATTCTCCACTTGTTGATGGGTTGTTACTACTAGACATTTGAGATAAAGCTTCTATATTTAACTGACCATCAGAAGTATTTATCTGATGCATTGCTACTGGATAAATTCCAAACTGTTCCTCCCCCTGATCTCTATAATTACTAGATGAACCTAATCTAGATCTATTGTGTTGATTACCTGCAAAAAATGTTATATAGAATATAAACATGTATACCATACACATTACCATCATATACACGTGCACATAACGAATGCACGGATTTAAAGAATGCTGCATTATACCATGGCATGCCACACTGATCTGTACATGTATGTTGGATGGAGAAGGGGTAAGATGAAACAGAACTTTTGTATTAAGTTGACAATTTTCCCAATTCCAACATTAAATTTAAATTGAAAAGAGCAACATAAAGCTAGGTTTTAGTGTAAAAGCAAATCATTATACAAAAAAAACGGTATATGTGACTTGGTATGTCAAAATGAGTCGGAATGTGCGTTATTTAATTTTGAACTAGAGACACCTAAGTCAAAATATTGATTTTGATCGAAATTGAGATTTTCACAAGAATGAGTCCATAAATATACTATCTATCGACACAAAAGATCAAAATAGCAATAAAAGATTTTAGAACACCTTTATTTGGACGTTTTGTAAGAGTATCATATTCTTAAATCTGTCCTATTTCTTAAAATTTTCACTTCAGCGAAATTAGTTATTTTTCTTCGCTCACAGTGGAACGACCGGTCATTCCTCTTGCATAAGAATTGGCATCGTTGTAAAGCGGAGAATGTTTAGTTTACAAATATGACCAAAATATTGCCTATGAATTCATTTTGAACGGATACAATCGAGTTTTAAAACCCCTAAAAAATATAAACAAACTCGGCTTGTTGCTACGCTGTCTACACAACTCATTTGCTGATTGGCCCAGACACCGCATGCAAAGCATTATGGTTATGTGGCTGGCTAGAGCGGAGGATAGATATTTGGTTTGGGCGATAATGTTTTTGGGTACCTACATGTACATGGAATTCACTCTGATAAGTGGCAGAAAAAAAAAAAACAGCGGCTGCCAGGCAGGATACGCCCACATTTTGCAAGAGATGGATAGAGAATAAGCTAAAAACAAAAACGATTTTTTGTACAATCAGGGGCCATAATCCAGAAAGTTATGGTCTAAATTGCGCAAATATCAAAAGGGACTGAGATTTTTGGAATATAAAGCTATGTTTTAAGTTTCATCAAAATTGGATAAAAATTGTGACCTCTAGAGGGTCCATAACCTTTGTATTACATACTTATACACAATTTGCGTACAAAGAGCGACTATTTTGTCGGGCAGTTTCGTTTTGATTTTCCCGAAATTCGAATTCAACCTTCATTATGGTGGAATGGTGATATATTTAAATGGTTTTTAAAATCGGATAAAAAATTGTGACATCTAGAGAATCCACAAGCTAAAAATGCAATTTTTCGAACATTCAGGGGCCATAATCCAGGAAGTTATGTTCGTATATGTGTGATTATCAAAAGGAATCAAGATCTTTATGATAAAAACATATATTTAAAGTTTCATCCAAATCGGATAAAAACTGTGGCCTCTAGTGTGTCAACAACCTTGATATACCATATTTTTTACACTATTTGCGTACAAGGGGCGGTCATTATGTCTGTCAGTTTTAATCCGATTTTCACGAAATTCGAGCTCAAGCTTCATTAGTGTATAACTGTGATATATTTAAACGGTTTTTTTTTCTTAATCGGAAGTTATATTCGGATATGCGCGATTATCAAAAGGAACCAAGATCTTAGTGTGTAACGGTGATATATTCACATGTTTTTTTTAAATCGGATAAAAATTGTGACCTCGAAAGTTTGTACAATCAAATGCCATAATTCAGGAAGTTATGATTCGATATGCACAAATATTGAAAAGAACCAAGATCTTTGGGTTATAAAAATGCAATTCAAGTTTCATCAAAATTCGATCAAAATTGTGACCTCTAGGAGGTCCACAACCTTGATATACCAGATGTTTACACTATTTGCGTACAAGGGGCGGCTATTTTGTCCGACAGTTTTGGTCTGATTTTCACGAAATTCGAACTCAACCATCATTAGGGTGTATCGATGATATACTAAAACGTTTTTTTAAATCGGATAAAAATTGTAACCTCTAGAGGGACCACAAGCTAAAAGGAATGTACGATCCAATATGCATTCCAAGTTTTATCAAAATCAGATGAAAATTTTGACCTCTAGAGCATACACAACCTTGATATACCATATTTTTACACTATTTGTGTACAAGAGGCAGCCATTTTGTCCGGCAGTTTTGGTCCGATTTTCATGAAATTCGAACTCAACCATAATTAGGGTGTAACAGTGATGTATTTGAACGATTTTAAAATCGGACAATAATTGTGACCTGTAAAGGGACTACAAGCAAAAGGAAACAAGATCTTTGGGCTATAAACATGAATTTCAATTTTCATCAAATTCAAAATCGGATCAAAATTTAGATCTCTAGAGTGTCCACAATCTAAAAACGTGATTTTTCGTACAATAAGGGGCCATAATCCATGAAGTTATGGTCCGATACGTGCCAATATCGAAAGGAACCGAGATCTTCCTATATTTCAAGTTTCGTCAAAATCAGATAAAAATTGTGACCTGTAGAGTGTCCACAAACAAATTGTGGACAGACGGACAGGGGCAACGACAATATACATCCACATAAAACAAACTATTACATCAAATTGAAGGTAATGAGTTGGCGAATGTGAAAATAACAATAACTCAATTTTCAAAGTTTCCTCACTGCAACTCATTATGCTATGTTGATTGTTATCTTTATAAACCTAGAAAAATCAAGATGGCTCAATGGGATCAAAAGAATAATGAAAACTCATAAGTTAGAAAGGAGAGATTCGAAAAAGCACTTTTTACTACGAATATGATTTATATTATCTATGGCCTATAACTCACCATGTAATTGTTGATCCATCATTGATTGTTGATTCCATGAAGAATCGGACGAAAATATACAACTTTTATCTTCAATAGGTTCATCTTTTATACTAGTTAAATCTATATCTACAGGATCTGATGATGGGGTACTGGATTTAGCCGGTGAAGATTTTGATGGAGACTGATATGATTGATGGTGGGGAGATGATAAAGCACTATTAGCATCCGATGTTTCAGATTTTACAGAAAATGAGTCTCTACTAACAGGGGTATTAAGTCTATTTTCAGGATTATGTCGTCTCTGTTTCTGTGGTGGGGAGGAGTATTCTGATTGTGAGAAATGTTGTGTTGAGCGTTTATTATTTCCTATGTGTGGGCCTTGATGGTGGTATTGTGTTCTTTCGTTACCAAAATTTGCATGTCTTTTATGTCTCGTATCTCTTTCATCATTTCCTGAGTCTGACTGACCGGTTCTGGCTGGTGCAGTCTCTTTTTCCTTTTTTTTTTGATCAGCATGGAAACTGTTACTAACAAAAACTGTTGATGAATCGTCACTCTTACACACTTTCTCATTAACAATATAATTAAATTTTTTAGACTTATCAACACTGAGATAAATATGTCCAATAACTTCAACATCTTCACTGAAATCTACATTACTGTGACACAACACTTGTAGATTTCTCACCAAGGAATTAATAAAATTTGATGCTGCTTCTGTATTCATGTTTCTATTTTAGTGTTTTTCTAACCTGCAAAATAAAACTATATCTCATTTGATGCCCATTGAAAAAAAAAAAAAAAAAAAAAAAAAAAAAATATACATGTACATTTGAAATGATCCCATAGTCTGAGGCTCAGGATTATTAATTTATCAATATTCCAGGAGTTTTGATCTGTAAAACAATGAATGTAATCTATGTTATATGTAATATTAATATTCTACTCAGAAAGATAACTTTTGGTGCTCAAACAAATATTCAAAAATTTGCATGCAATTAATTTTTCAAGGCTATCTTAACAGATTTTTGGTATTCAATGTCAAATCATGAATTTGTTGATACATTTTTTGTCTCCAAAGTCCAATAAGAAATATTTATTAATATTAATATTAGAAATATTTATTTAAAGATGCTATCATCAACTAATCATAAATAAACAGCTATGACATTCTACATTGATTTCAAAGATTCCTAATTCGAGGTGATCACTAATACTAATTAAAGTAGCCAAGTCTCTAACTCAATATCATCCAAAGTCATGCACGTTGAAAACACAAATTATTTGTCAATTGAAATCAACATTGATGTTGTTATCGTGTACCATAGTGCGTTTCATCGTCTTTTGTAACAAGTGACCAGAAAGAGCGAGGCTAGACATATATTCCACAACTCATGTCATACGGCGACGCCATAACTTATCTGGAGAGCATGCACAATAGACTGGAATAACCAGACCCTATAAATTTCTATTCAGTTGAGACTCATGCCGTATTTCGTTGGACCTAACTGATTTGAAATTAGAGTCAAAACGAAAACAATTGAATGTAAATCAAAAAAATATACAACCAGATTACATTATTGTATGCATTGCGATCCATTTGGGTCAATTTCTAGGTCCTAAATATTAGCGATTTAGCTCCTTTAAAACAGTCAGTAGCCTAATACCAATATTTAGGTTTTTTAAGCTAGTCAAATCATGCTGAGCTGTGCAAAATGTTGCACAGTGGCACAGATCATCAGGTACAAAAGTATTGATCAATATGTTCTCTTAGGCTACAAATTTGTTTTCAACCATAATCACGGGTGGGGGACATTTCTCGAATGCCCTTATGATGGGTTGCAATGGGAATGGGATTCAGTAGCGTGTGCCAACCGAAAAAGGGACGTAACTCTTTTTTCTTAATTGGCTGTCACAAATATGGCGCTATTTTTTCGCGAAAAGCTAGCCTTGCATTACGGCCTCGTGTTGGTTACCTGCAATCGATACCGGTTCCATTCAACCGAAAACAGTTAGTTAAGAGGTCAAGGTTGCTCCGCATGCAAAATTTATCACTCGTAGCAAGGTAAGAATATTTTTTTTCTCCGATTGAAAAGTTTGAAATTTTGTAACTTTTTTCGTGGAAGATGCGGAGCGAAAAAAAACCTCCTCAAATATGGATTAAATATCCCTTTATAAGATCCATCTTCATTTATTTCCATAAGTGGACGTGAACATTGGTAAAATTCAATTTTTCTCCATGTGACCGAAATTCTGTCGGCCATATTGTAATGGCGGGGGCGTGTCAAATGTACCGTTAGACACCCGTTAGTTACACACGTGCTAATAATGAGTGATCATAGGAAGAATTTTAACTTTCTAAGACTGTGCAGTTGATTTTTTTACGAAAACAAACATAGCTCAGAATTGTATGGTATAATAAAGCCCAATAAAAAAAAGAAATAAGGAGTACTTTTCTATATTTTTATTTTTAGGTTTTTTTTTTTAATTATTGAAGAAATCCACACCGAGGGAAAACATCTTTGTTTCAAAGGAAATTGTACATTACCAAGATGTGAATGGGGTTAGAACTGCCTTTGATGGCCGGGTTATATCTAGTGTGCCTGGGTACAATGAGTGGTATAATGTAGTATATAAAAGGGATAAAGCTGTTTATGTTTATAAACTTGCTGAAGATTATGAGGCAGGGGATCTCATAATTAAGCCGTGATAGCAGACTGTGAATGATAATTTCTAAAGTAAAATGTGACAATGAAACCCTGATGTGGCAACAGTTTTCGATCAGTTCTATTTCATTATTTTATTTTAAGTTACATTTTTCATAACAAGTTACATTTTTCATTGTTTTTAACTTATTATGTATTGTTTCAATGTTTTTTTCTTACCTTTTTTTCCATAACTTTTAACTAATATTATTGACTTATTTATATAAAGTTACTTTTTCCATTATTACTTTATACTAATATTATTAATATAGCTAACATATATTTATTACTGTCAACTTATTTATAACTGTTTTTCACCTGTTTCTGTTCTGAAGTTTTTACAGTGTTACTCTTTTCATTACCGGTAGTACTGTTAACTTGACTTTATGATTGACAACTTAAATACCTGTAGTTAACTTCTTTATACCTTGTTTTTCATCTTGTTTGTCTCAATATTTTTATTATTTAACATACGGTATATTAGATTATTAATATTAACTCATGTATTATTAACTCATGTATCATGTATTCCAGCCTGTTTTCCTTCATTTTATCAGTATTGTTTAATCATATTTACAAAACTTTTTCAGTATATGCAGAATATTTTGTAGATATTTAGCTGAATTGTTGTGTTTTTTTATATTTTTATACTGAAAACTTCAATTCTGGAGTTTTGTTAGTTATGATTCAGTGCATTTATTTTGATAATTTTATTTTTTGATATTTCATACTCATAGCTGTCCACGAGAACATGGATATTTCATAGCTGTCCATGAGAACATGTTTCCAGTTTCCATTTAATCATCAAAAAACAATTTCCACTATTTTTAATGATTTTTTTTTATAGTTATTATTTTTATGTTTTTTCGGAACAAAATATGTCCGATTTGCTTTAAATTTTGTCAAAATAAAAGGTAAAAACAATATTTTTGTGGTTGATTTTAGTAAATGTGTGTCTCTAGAACATCTGTGTACAATTTGAGTCTGTTCCAAAGTCATTCAGTTAGTCAAAATATTATTTTTTCAATTTTGCCTGTTTTTGACGGATTTTGGGAAAACGCTGCTTACGTATGGGTATATAAAATTAGCTACAAAAAACAAAGTTATGAACCGATTGTCATAATTGAAAAAGATTAATGATTCTCAGGTGTTTTTCTAACTGTGTGCAAAAATTTCAGGTCTGTAGCTCAAAAATTGAATTTTGGTTGGCACATGCTAGATTCAGAATTAAATTCAAAATCAAATTGAAATTCAGAATTCAGGCACTCTTTTGTTTATTTTTTGTCGTTTGTAATAGGCGTGTTTACTTACTGCTCATCACATACAATACTTGCACAAGGTTTATACAAACGTGCTTTCTTGCGTTTTGAGTACACAAAATATATAATATTCTTCTATTGGTATTAAATATTGAAATCAAAGTGCATTAAAATGTTTCGTTTTTGCAAAATGTCTGAAAATGTACTTCCGGTGGGAGCGGATAGTATGATTATTGCACATTATTTATGACAATCCAGAATCAGTGACAAAAATAATTTCAGGTATCTTCAATTTGATGTTGAAATGCAAACTTTTTCTCTCGACACCAAATTTGATGTGATGTTTGAGTAAACTTTACATTATTTTGGGCAAAGTATCCAGTTTAATGAATGGTCAAAAGTTGTTTCGTCTCAAAATATATTTGTAATAGACACCTGAACAACTTCGGCACATCTAACAGACCAGTGATACTACAATGCACAAGAATTTTACGACGCAGAATCTACCATGCGTCAAATTTGCACTTCATAAATAGAAACAAATTGAATAGATTAGATGTGACGAAGGAGGCATCAGGAGTCCGTGAAAAGAGCTGCGGGCCTGTGGTTGCAGAGAGTGTAGTGGGGCAAATATTGGGGCAAATATTCCAGCTGTTATATTTACATGTATATGAATGATAACTTAACTAAAATGTTTTATTTCCACAACACAGTTGGTTCCTTTGAAGCATTTAATTTTGACAAGATTGGCTATAATATTGTTGAACAAAATCTGAGAACTTAAAGTTTTCAATAAAATTTTCTGAGGAAATAACATGTATTGTCAGTGGGTAAATGATAGCTTATGTCGAATGTGGAGCTTACTCTCAATACTCAGCTTAACAGAAAACACCCTAATTTTTCGCGAAGAGGTGAAAAAATATTCTCGAAAACTTATTAATTTTCAAATACTTTTCGGCGGGTCGCTCCTCATATGCCTATTTAGGACCAACTTGTGTCATCCGATCTGAGAATCAACAATTAAACAGAATATGCGATGGTCTGAAGCAGGTCAGGAGAATAGAGATGTGGAGGGTATCTTCCCCATGCATATGATCGCATCATTAGACCTTTGTATAATTATTGTTTATCTTGTTTTCCTAATATTCACAACCATATTTTTTTTGTCCAGTATGACATATTATTACTGTTTAAAATGCAGATGTGACGTCATCCTTTGATGTTGGCGTACCATTATTTCATTATTTCAATATTGGACCCGCGTGACGTATTTCATTAAAATGCATGTGCTGGAAAGTGTCTTATTTTAAGTTGTCTAATGGTCTCGTGCAAGACATTGCGTAATATAATATAGATCTGTGCATAGGCGTAGGAGCTCAAAGTAATTCAGGGGGGCATAAGAGAAAATTGCCCGAAATCAGTACCGTTTTTTCGGGCATACCTATCATAAGAGAGCTTCGGGCATATTTTCGGGCATGCAGTGGACAAGAAAAAGACGAGAGAATACTTTTCGGGCAGTGTGGATCTCATAGAAATAAGTTAGTTATATTTTTTCTCTAAACGTTAATAGAAAAAAAAGGTCGTCGAATTTTTCATTGCCCGAAAATAAACTTTTTGGACCCGTGTGACGTATTTCATTAAAATGCATGTGCTGGAAAGTGTCTTATTTTAAGTTGTCTAATGGTCTCGTGCGAGACATTGCGTAATATAATATAGATCTGTGTATAGGCGTAGGAGCTCAAAGTAATTCAGGGGGGCATAAGAGAAAATTGCTCGAAATCAGTACCGTTTTTTCGGGCATACCTATCATAAGAGAGCTTCGGGCATATTTTCGGGCATGCAGTGGACAAGAAAAAGACGAGAGAATACTTTTCGGGCAGTGTGGATCTCATAGAAATAAGTTAGTTATATTTGTTCTCTAAACGTTAATAGAAAAAAAAGGTCGTCGAATTTTTCATTGCCCGAAAATAAATTTTTTGGGGGGCACTGCCTCCTACGCCTATGGGATCATCTGTGATTCTCAACCAGTGTGCCGCGAGATCTTCCTAAGTGTGCCGCGAACTTTTGAACGACACACTAAGAAAATGAGAAAATAAAACACGTGATTCTATTCACAGGTGTCTACTGATAAGCTGTGTTTTTCTTTATTTAGTTTTGGGGATCACGTGGCTAAGTGGGTAAGACGCTAGCTCGCTAGCCTGGAGGTCGGGTGTTCGATCCCTGCATTGGCCGAGAAAGTTCATCTAGATATTCCGGCGTGGTTCTCCCTTGTCAGTGATGCAGGACGGAGGGGCTGACAAGGAAAGCTGTCTAGTCGTTCGGATGGGACGAAAAACCGAGGTCCCGTGTACACATTGGCGTGCACGTAAAAGATCCCTTGGCAGTTGAAATTCGATATAAGAGTAGGCCGTAGTGCGTAGTGCCGCTGTCCGGGCAAAATTTCCCTCATAGCACACTGTATGGCGTATGCCCGTCTTCATTAGCCCAGCTTAGGAGCAGAACAGTAGGACGTTAAACTCCATTTCATTTCATTTCATTTTCATTTATTTAGTTTGAGTCATTCTATGTGTCTATGACTAGTCCCCGTCTACTGTTGTATTCTGTCTGACTAGTTTCCATGTTTTTATTTTGCAAAATTCAAATATTTTTCATATATATTTAGCCAGGTGTGCCGCTATTTTTTCATGTGTTCCATGATGTGCCGTTGGGATTAGCGCTAGCCCTGTTTCATCTCGCGACCTATATGACGAAAAATTGAGCTGGCCTTATCATTTAGCTCTAACCAACAAGTCATGTCAAACGGTGACGGCGTATTCTTATCTGGAGAACATGCGCAATAAATACTATCGGTGTAGACTTGGATAACCAGACGCTAGAGATTGACATTCGATTGAGACTTCTGTCTGGCGTATTTCGCCGAACATAACTGATTTAAAATTAAGGGTAAAAACGGAAACGATTGAATGTAAATCAGTTTATGCATTCATATTACATTATTATATGCGCTGTAACCCATTTCTAGGTCCCAAATAATTATTAGCGATTTAAAGATATAAAATATGTATCAAGATTGTCATTGTGTCGTCGGTTGTGTGATAAATAGCTTCTCGGTGGTCTGCGGTGGTGAAAAGTCATACCGTTATTTGTTTTATGGGAAGTGAAATTTGGGGCATTTAATTTTATTATTCCCCTCCCCTCAAACTAAGTTAACCGGACCCTTACGGCTATGCAGATAGGCAGTTAACCGTTATAGGAAAGGTTGAGTGTAAGTGATCCACTCAAAGCAATGTGATGCGAAACGTCTTCTATTGAAATTCTTCGGCACGAACTTTCTCGGGACAGTCTCCTTTACGATGATTTTTTTTCTCTTTTTTGCATTGCCTCTGTTCTTCTATTTACAATATACAATACAGGTAGACAATATAAGAGAATTGGGGTTAAATATTACGTACAGCAGGAAAGTATTACTTGTCTAAAGAAATTAATTTATTATAAGCAATTTATTGAGGCAAGAGACAATTACAAACACCTCCACGAACCGGAAGTCGACGATAAACTTGAAAAAAAGAACAATAAAATTATAGTCACAGATAGTAGAGACTATACATTCATTTTGTTAAGAAAATAAGAATAATATTACTGAATCCAGGGAGAGATAACGTACAAAGAAGAGTAACGTAAGTCGTTTTCTCTAATTTCACAAGATCCAAGTCATGCATGGAACGTTATCATGATGAATGAAAATAACCGAGAGAGAGACTTAGAGTAGGCCTAGACTTAGAGGGGGGTGGGGTTTATTGTCCACTCGACACAAACTACTATTGAAACAAGGTCATTTTTTTTTTTTCAATGATTCGCTTGCGCATAGGGATCTTTAGCAGTGGGTGGAAATTGGAGGACCCAGAGAAAATCCATGAGGTTGGACAGGCAACCCTACTCCTTGTCATGTAAAAGCGGGGAATTAAAAATAGGCCCCTTGACTCAGTGGCAGACCTTATATGATCGAACACGCACACACACACTATCCTAGAAATGGTTCCACTACTGATCTCTTCCGTCTTGCTCCAGCCACAGTAGTGGATCGTCCTAGGGCCTTCCTTTGAGCAAGTTTTGTAGTCATTTGACCACAAAAATGTTACTGGCTTATAACGGTATAACTCACTTAATTTCAAATTACACTGACCCCAAACTGTACATGTACAGCACATAGCTTAACATATAATAAACCAATTCCCATTAAAATAAAGGTGAAACCTTACTGCATAATTATATGATTTGATTAAACCCAACTGCTATGGCATGCAAAATTTCTGTACATTTTAAAATGGCCACCGAACTAGAATTTCAGTGTTCCACTCTTCACTATTTGTAACATAATTACTTATTTCCATGCAAACTGTGATGATATGTGTTGAAAGTTTGCAACTGAGCTTAACTTTACTTGCGCAAAGCCGTGAATAGTGTATCAATTGTAGCCGCGGATGAGACAGGACGTGGGTACAATATTGTAGCTAACGCTATCCATCTGGCCACCCAACCCCTCTGAAGATGGTAAATAAGTAGTAATAAATATACCACCCAACCTAAAGCTCACCTGAAAAAGGACAACCTAATCAACCTATTTTCCGACCATAAATAGGGTGCACCACACAGCCAAAAATTGTGGGTTTTTTTAATCAAATTTGAACATGGCTTCAGTGACATTTCACACGCAAATGACATTGTGGTGCAGTGCTTCTGCACTTACATGTATTAAACCGTAGGCCCGTCCAATAAATAATAAAGCCCAAAAAAATCTAATGTTTAACTAGTCTGTTTTACAAGGTTCCCAAACCTTTCATTCACATTCTGTACTTGTGTTGTTACTAACTTGTTAGGGAAGTGGTGAGTTGTCTAAGGTGTGCACTTTAGATCAAAAGATCATTGAGTCAATTGTTGGGGTTTAGATCTCATACTGGTGCCATGATAAGAATGTAACTAGCCAAATAGTAGTCATCTACTCGGCAACAGTTTAGTTGTGGCAAACTCTGATATAGTGTGTGTGTGTGCGTGTGTGTGGCACTGACAGTAGGGCTGTATTAGTATTACATTACGTTACACTTCACTGCCAATAACAAGAAACAGTGTTAGGAAAATATGGTGGACAGATTCTGAAATTGCTCTGATATTTACATGAATAAGCTTATCAGAAGTCTTTTCAAGGTCATTTGATGTGCTGTAGTAAAGTACCAGTAATAAAAGCATTATATAGCAGGCCTTGACGATGCTCTGATATAATTTCTAAGGATAATTAGTGATACAGTACATCTATTGCCTGGAGATGATGAATGGTATTAGTTGTACTGGTTGCAATGCCAGGCACTACTCAACTAGTACCTGAAATTTTGAATTTGTGTCGGACATGAATTACTGTAGTAATATCTATATAAACATAGAAAAAAAGATAAATCTGTCCCACTATACAAAATGACTGGTGCAAGAGGGATTGTTCCTGACAAATCTTCCCATTGCTTTAGTTGTTATTTTATATTTCAGAATTTGTACGAGTAAGCTTGATTTACATAAGGAGAAAATAGTAAGTTATATGGGATTGTTATTAAGATGAATAGCAGTGCGGCTGAAAATTTCATTAATTCTCTGGTGAGAAATCTCCAAGTGCTCTGCCACAGTAATGTTGAATTTGATGATGACATAGAAGTAGTTGGACATCTCTACCTAAAAGTTGACAAGGCCAAAAAATTTAATTACATTGTTGATGAGAAAGTGTGTAAAAATGATGCCTCATCTACCGTATTTGTTAGTAATAGTTATCATTCCTGTAATCAAAATAAAACTAATGACACCGATAGCGATATACATAAACCAAATCAGGACACTATATCATCGCCCAGAGACACATCTAATGGTGGTAGCAGCAAACGTGATGCAAATAAGTCATTGATTCATTTCTCCAATTCATTTACTAATGATGAACCACCATCTAAAAGTCAAAGACTAAATGTATCACTCAGCAGTCAGGATGTAAATAAATCTTTCAAACCACGAATAAAACATACATTTAATAGAAATACCACACAAATACCACCAAAGTTAAAAACAGAAGAACCAGATCATATAGACTTGACTAAAATAAAAAGTGAACCACCGGATGATGTAACAGAAAATCTCAATTGTTATTTTGAATCTCCTGGAAAGAGTCATAATAGTTCAGGTAAGTTTGTTTTCCGTCATTAAAACTTGACTTTTGTATCTTCATAATGCCATGTTTAATAACTCCACCTGCATTACCTGACTTTTGTTCACAGGGATTAATAATTATTAAATATAAAAGCTTATGTATAATGAATGAAGTGGCTGTCAATGGTACATGTACAGCAAAGTCGGTTAATGCCGCCAGGGTATCAGACATGTGCTGTCATTTAAATTGAAATGTACAGTTAATGCCTTTAAAAGTACAGCCTACATTATTTAGAATGGAGGGGGGAGGGGGTGCTTATGTATAATGAATGAAGTGGCTGTCAACGGTACATGTACAGCAAAGTCGGTTAATGCCGTCAGGGTATCAGACATGTGCTGTCATTTAAATTGAAATGTACAGTTAAAGTACAGTCTACATTATTCAGAATGGAGGCGGGGGGGGGGGGGGGGGGGATGGTGCTTGACTTATAGTGTTGGTATTGAACAGACATGACCCAGATTAAAAGGATGTAAATATAAAGAGCAGAACAAATTAAATATATAAATATGTAAGCACCATGTACATGTAGATGTTATTATGTTTCAGAAAATGAAAGCAGGGCAAATATTACAGATACTGGTCAGTTAAATGATGATGAATTTTTTGCTAATATCAAAGAAAAGGCATTTGGGATTCATCCAGTGGCACTTATTCCTAATGAATTATCACAATCGGGTCACGAGTCATTATCACACTACTCACAAGCATCTACCTCAGCCTCTAATTTCAACTTACATAATCCTGATTTATCCCAATCATCTGGTAAGTATTGTATACCATCAGTATTATTAGGAAGCTGGTTCCTAGAAAAATCAAATTAAATCAAATTCAAAGTAAAAACATATAGATGAAATTATTGATGACATAAACTGTCGCAAAATACACTTTAGTGCACAAATTATAGCTCAGTTAGAATTGGCAAACTAAAATTGTTTTCGCAATTTTGTGATTTTGCTAGGAATCATCACCTATTCAAAAGTTACACCACACGACAAGTGATTACTTACAAACTCAAAAACAATGCATAAATATAATTAAATAATTTGGAAGAAACTTTTAGAAATGTTTTTCTCTGTTAATTCAAAACAAATCAAAATAACATTTTACGCTACAGCATTTTAGAAAATCCAAATTATTTTGCAGTATTTTGTTCAACACCAATCTAATTGAAATATAGATTCTATTTCATTCTGTTCTTTTGTAGTTTAAATTTCAATTCATTTGTATGATATAGATTAGTTTTTAGATGAAACCTGGCGTACACTACACGACGACATAGGCGATTTCAGTCGCCGACGATGAAAAATGAAAAACTCGGTCTCTAGCAATTTTTTGTCGCAGCAACTATCACTGCGAAGGTCGCTGATATCAGACATGTTTGATATGATCGCCCACTTCGTCGGCAACAAATCGTGTAATGTGCTCACCTCGCCGACAAGTTAAGCGACAACCAAGAAAATAAATTCACCCATTAAACCAATCATTTTTGGTTATTCTTCTCATGTGATATAACCACACACAAGGTTTCTCAGAATTTTTTTTTCTGTTGCAATCTGATTTAGGCCCAACTGACTTTAATTGAAATTAAGTTTGCAATTCTGGCACTTATTAAATGTGTGAACTGTCAAATACATATGGTATTATTCTGTCTATATAACAATATACTCAATAATAATATAGTTCTAGGATTCATACCTGTAGCGAGAAAACGGAGGATGACAGTCTGTTGCTCTTCTGAGCTTATTGGTTGTCTCATCTTGGTTGTTTGTTTGGTAATGAGAGGGCTAATTATATTTAGGATACTCTGGAATATTTCTGGACTCATCCTCACGTAGCCTGTTATCTATACATGTAACAAGAGTCGCCCAAATTGAGCTTGTTACTTAGAATAGGCCTACTATAAACACACTGCGTTGTACTAAGAGGGCTAAGCCACCGCCTGCTCACATGTACAAAAACAATATTAATTGAAGTATTCAACGCGATGATGACTAAAATGCATTTAGAGGTGTCACATGACAGGTTATTTTTTCGTGTTTGCCAAAGTCGACGTGTAGTGTGCTCACTCCATTTATATTGTGTCGATATTTGTCGCCAAAATCGTCACTTAAGTTATCGCATAGTGTTCGCCAGGCTTAAACCACATTCTGCTTGATATTCACTAAAGCTATACAAAGAAAATTAAAACAAAATTTTGAATATACGTAGTCAAAGTTGAACTTCTGGTATGTCACCCCCGACATGACCTCTCTCATAGATCTACAATGTATATTGAGTGGAGGCCATCAAAAGTATAAGAAAGCAAAACAGATTTTGCACCCATATTTTAATCAGATTGATTTCACTGACAAATAGAGTCAGTGTTATACTAGGGTATGTTTGATGTCATTTAATCATGATGGTGTATCTTTAATGAGCTTATGCTTTTAAGTATTATTGATGTATGTGATATATATATTTCAAATAAGAAATAGCTTGATATCTTTCCACATTCAACCCAAATAGACTGCAGTATATCTCTTTCTAAATCCTGTACAAAACACAATACAAATGTAATTATATCATGTTTAGAAATTTTTACGGATCATAATAAATGTACATTTCACACTGTCATCTCCAGTTACATAAATGTCATAGTCTATATAATAGTACTGTGATCTTATTTCTCTCCTCGACTTGATGAAAACCTCATAAAGTAAAACTGCATGGAAAGTAAGGAAGCTTACAATGTTTAAGTGTGATCAATTTACAGTATATTAAAGTTTTTATGAACAAGGACGGGGGTGAATTTACAATGGGGACGACTTGACAGCAGTCCTTGATTACCTGGTAAAATGAATGGACAAAAATATAAGCAAGGGTTGTAAGTGCTGTTTTGCATGAAGAAAATGCACCTTAAAAACACACCAGGACTTACCAAATGAGTGGTAGAAACCAAGAATTCTCCAATTGTTAAAATTTCCTTCTGGTATGGTACACTAAACCTTCATCGTCTGTGCAAGTGCCTTGATATGCTAACAAATGACTAGACAAAACTCCAGGCAAAGATTCTAAATGCTGGTTTTTTATTTCATTATAAATGAAAATTAAAAGAACTGCAATGTAAAAGTAAACAAATTTTGAAACATCAGATAGAATGCAAGCACTCCACAGTGGTTTTTTTGGCAACATTTATCCAACCCCCAGTTCCCAGATATTATGTATGTATCCCTTCAGAAACCATCTAAAGGAGGTAAACTAAAAATCTAAAATTTTTACTGTCTCCACAGTCTGCAATGTAGTTCATTGAATTATGTTATGTGTAATACCAAAAAACAAACCTATGTTTTCTTCATTTTTATAGTAGTGCTTTATACCATAGTTTAGTGCCTCATACCCCTAATCCCATCCCCAGCCCACTGTTTACAATTTATCTTGTAGACAATAAATACATAGGTAGAACAGTCTGCAATAAAATTTAAAACTGGCCTAATCATAATTGAGGCAATACAATGAAACAATTATCAAATAATAAATAAAACATGCCATCAGAGAAAAAATCCATGCAATATGACCATTATTTACCATCACAAAGATTTTATGACTACTGTCATGGACAGCTTTTATGACCTGCGGCCCAAGAATATATAATACTCTCAGTCACCCAGCCCATTCCAGGAATGGCATTCTTTCTATGTAACTCATTGAAAAATTATACAAAATGCTATTATAAGATCTCATCTGGAATATATTATCAACACTTTCCCAATGAATATAGGATCTGAGAACATTGGTTTTAGAGTTGTTAGCTGACCAAGACTGCTATAGCAAGTGTTTGATATGGTATTCTTTTTTTCTGCATGTTCAAATTCAAATAGTCCAAATAAATATTTTTTATTAATTGAATAAGTAGATTTTTAAAATGCTGTGTTTCCAGTGTTGAGGAGTACTTTTTGTCCCATTGCCATTATATGGTTGTATCCGTTTGAGAAACTATTTTATCAAAATTAGAACATTGGTACAAAGTCTGGGTGTTCAAGACTATACTTTATATAACTTTTAGGATTTAGTTAGGTTGTTTTCTGCATTATTAACTAAATTTTTGAGTAACTGATGAAATGAGAATATGATTTTATATCAATAACATACAGAAATTTAAATCATTAGGTACTTATCTTACATTTATTGAAGGAGATATCAATGATTAAAACATTTTAATGTGAAGGCATTCATATTCTTAAAGAGCACATCAAGTGAGAAAACAATATTATATGTATGTATACCCAGTGGTTACTATTTACAAATTATGCAAGATAACACCAATCTGAATAATATTAATTGAGCCATCTTCACTCAAAGTGGCAAGTATAGACCTCTCGTAAAAACGACTTTGCTACTTATCGAAACACTCTTAATCCGCTGAGACGCCAGTGACGTCACAGTGACCGAATGCATATAAAGAATGGTTATTCCTTAATTACCTTTACACACCATGATGTGTACTTATTAATGCCTGACTGATTCGTTAATCCCCTAATTAATTAAAACAATTAACTACGGGATAATTTGATTTGTAATTTATTTTAATTTTAGATCCTACATCATGTAGAATTTGTTTTAGGCAATACAAATAAAATAAGTTATCAGGCTACTCCCACACCATTGGCCCAACCATTGACTCGTATGTCAAAAAAAAATGCTGCATGTGTCTACTTGATCTACCTGATTGCCTCATGGTTTATCTGTTGTCGGACATTTTAATCTCCTTGAAGTCAGCCGACAACATGTGGAAACTAGTCATATCATAATATAGTAATAGTACATGTATATAACACCCCAAATCAATGGACAGTAATTATAACGTTCAAAATGTGTCGCGATACTTATCTACTGCCCAGTACTTTTACTAAGGATGAACATGAAGATGCTGACACAACCATGACTGTTGGATGTACTTGAGTTCTGTGCCGTCACACAATAATGTTTATCTGTAACCATTTTATTTCGTAAGAATTGCCACGTTGGACAGCCAATTTGTCATTACACAATATTTTAAACATTTTCCATTCACCGACAACAAAATATTCTGTAAATATAGGCACATATATCCATACGAATCGCTTCCTATTAACACCTTTAACTTTTTTCCGTATTGAAACTACGTCTTTTAAGACTCCCTACAGAAATTCACTATTTGCAGTGGCACTTTCATGCAATCTCGCTGTCGCATGGAATTCATTGTCTACAGCGCTGCTTAATATGAAACTAGTAAAATGGTTGATTTGGGCTCGAAATACCTGTTAAAGGTCACACACACCAATGATAAAACGTGGAAGTTGGCTATGCCTTTTTATGATGATGCAGCATTTTAAAATTCACTCTAAAATATTCCAGTCACAAGTATGTAATCTATAACAATGCAAGTTAAGAAAGGCAGCTCTTGAAAATGCTTTGACGTATAGTGATTTATAGCTGCTTTATGTAGATAATTATAATGCGATAATTATTAGGTCGGTCAATATGTTAATTGAGCCATCAATAAACACTAGTCAACTGGCGGTGTGTATAGACAGTGACACGATCATAATAGTCTATATTCTATGTGTGGTTCCTGTGACGTCACCAGCCAACTGGATTAAGGCTGTAATTGAAAAATTTAATAATGTTTTAGTGTCCAATACTCAAACAGTAGTATGTCGAATAATTTTAATCAAATTGGTGTGAACTTGCCGTAATGTGTATATAGTAACTACTGGCTATATGTACATATAATATTATTTTCTCACTTGATGTGCTCTATAACATATTTACTAGTTAAAGCCCTTCAGTACCATTATAGCGTTTGGCAATTAAGACTATCTTCAACAGAAGGCTTGATCTTGCTTTAACATCTTATCAAGCTCTTCTTGTAATACCCGGCATATTTCAGCACTAATTTTGATTGGCTACTGACCCAGCTGGGGAGCCTATCAGATTCCTCGATCATCGCGAATACCATGTCTCCGGCTTTCCTGCTAAAAAATGTCTACCTGTGATATAATCGAGTTGCAAAGTTCAAGGTTCGTTCAGTGTCAAGATTTCTGTGGAGGTCAACATGTTTGATTTGAGTGTGTTTATGTCATAACCTTGTTCACGCGTCTGCATTAAAAGGAGGTATCGTAGCTATAAGTTCGTGAATTGCAGACCAGTCTAGCAACGTCTAGATGTTCTAAAACTCGAGGACGTTGCTTCAGGAACATGGATTAAGACCGTCAGGCATCTTGTTTTTAAAGAGATAACTTTAGAATTGTTAAGAACAACAGCTTGCAGTACTGTGTACTCTTTTGTACAGAATATGGTTTATTCATGGTGAATGGTTAAAATTGTGTTATAAAGAAACTGATCTGTCGTCATGAAGGTCAATATAATTTATAAAACTTGATATTATTTCTGGATTACCGGTATTTGACAAATTATAGTACATGGTTAGAAAGGTCTTACTTTTTTATGCAATTATATAGAATTAATATATTAATATGCACATGAAAGTCCTTGCACTCAGTAATACATTTGGAAAATGATGTTGTTAGTTCATTTTTACAAGTTTATATGACATCAAATTCTAGAGATAAAACTGGAACCAAGGAATAGGGATGATATCACTTCTTACAAAGGTAACATTAATGTTTGTTGCAGTTCGTATTTAAAACTCTGGGTTTGTGACTCATGCTTATCTTCAGAAATTAAGTTCAGAAATTATTTATCTGTGAGTAGTGATGGGTGGCTTGCATGAGGCAGAGTATGCTTACACTAGACCATCAGATTTCTTTTACAGGGCTCAAATTGTTTTGTTTGTAACTTTGTATCACAACACATGATGTATTATGAAAGACCCAAATATTTTGTGTCAGTATTATCTTAAAAGAACAAAGTGTGAATTTTATTATCGGACGTCGGTCTTAACTCAGGGTTTGGGTTGAATAAAACTCCTTTTCATCCAAAACAATTTGGTAATAAATCAGGTATTTCAACTTGCAAAGAAAATAACTCTTTTTATTATATTTGTCATTGTAATCTTTAGAATATATACTAATTAAATGATAAGTTATTGAGTTTAAATGCTGGTGTTTTTTTGTTGTTTTTTTTTGCCATCCTTCATAAGGCTTCATTTGCTTTGTGCCATGAGAATATTTTATTTAATGTATATCATGTATGAATGAGTATGATGAATATGGACTTACCCTATCATAATTTTGGAAGTTGGTTTGTCATAAATATTGGTTTTTAACTACATGTATTTGGGAGGTTTGTTTGTCATAAATATTGGTTTTTAACTACATGTATTTGTACAAATGTGTGTATATTATAGTTGCTTGGGCCCAGAAAGGCACTTTGAAAAAGCAAATGTGGACATTTTCTCATATTGATACATAATACCCACAAGAGGGCAGTTATGTCCACTTAGGTACTTGATCTTTAATGCACCCCCTTTTCTTGTAGCTGTAGTTAGTTTCTTCATAATGTAAAATTGACATTTATTAATTGAACATAGAAGTTTTCAGTGCCTACCCAAACATCAATCAGTCTTCATTTGAATTTCAGAGGTCTATGCATATCCATATTCATCAAGTGCTTATCAAGTATTGAATATGTTAGAAGCTGCAGGGACATCACCTAAACCAACACTTAAAGATTTAGCAGAGAGATTTCAGATGGATGAATATACTGTAGTAGATTACTTAAATCAGAAGGACAAAATCAAGAGCTATTTTTCTAATCGCAGATTTAAAACATCAGTATCAATCCCAAGTCGTCGTTTGACACTGGCTGAAAAAGTACAATTAATTCAGACTGCTGAGTCATCAAATAAACCATCACAATGTATCTTAGCTAAACAGTTTGGTATCAGTCAACCTACAGCCTGTAGAATTTTATATCAAAAAGACAAGATTTTAGAGGAATATAGACTGTCAAAGCAGTCGGCTTCTGACACTGACATACAAAAATAATCAAAATCTAAACTGATCACTGATGGTGTTTTTCTTCAAAGTTATGTGTATGCAATAGGAACTGAGGTTTAAAACTTAAAAGTAAATACATGTTGAATGTTGGATTATTGTGAATATAGACAGTCAAAGCAAACAGTATCTTACATTGATATACAAAATCAAAATCAAAACTGATCAAGTGATGGTTTCAACAGTTGTTGCAGATCACTTGACATCAACACACACAGGATACATGTATAATATAGTGAATTGTTGATTTGTAATTGTGATGTGTCTAACAAAATTAAAGAATATTAACTTAAACTGGCATTATACAAGAGTTAAATCTGCCTATTGCAGGTTGTTCTTTGGGCCTTAAATGTTATGTAAACTATTAATTAGACATTTTATTAACATGACACGACCATAATCAACCCCTAATGCCATCTGATGGGTCCGATTTTCAACAGATTTGAATCAATTCTGCAGTGTTTTTAAAATAAGGATTTCTCCTCGGAGTGAAGTAATCTTCCATAATGCCGCTTTAAAGAACAATAGATTTTCAACCATATTTCATTTAATTTCATTTCATTTATAGAACAATATTAGGACAGAAATTATTCAAGTTGTTATTTTAGAGTGTATTCAGAATATGTTGTGTTTGTATTTTTTTTTTTTACGTGTATGCAATAAGAACTGTACTTAAGTAAAGACATATTGAATTAATTTACTTTGAATTGTATTTTTTTTATTTGTGTTTGTATTCAGAACTAAACTACTAGCTAGTAGAAGGCCTACATGATTAGACATTAGAAAAAGTATGAATTATATTCGGCACCTAAAGATTATATTATTACTGCAACCTGTGAATGTTTAATAGGCTCTCGTACATTTTTGGTGAAAATTCTGATTATGACAGTCATTATTTTTCCCAATACATTCCAAGGTTAGGCAGCAGGGCAACCAACACTCTTTCTGCAATTGCACTTAATTTTAGTGAGTAAATAATAATTTGTCTGTAAGATAGTACACAAGGTACATGTTGTTTACTCTTTTGATAAGAGTTTGTAATGCTACAACCACAAAATAAATAAGTTCATTAGACTAAACACTGTACTACTACTTAGAGTATATGCTGATCTGCCTCTTTAAACATTAAACTTCTCAGTGGACATTAGTATTCAAGTAGTAAAAGAGGGAATATCAAAAACAGCATATCAAGTTTTAATTGTTTTCATAAAACATAGTGTTGACAGGCAATAAATACATGCCCATCGGCATCATTTTGAGCGTTGCTGTTGACTTAGGGTCCAGGGCAATAACTATGCATGAAATTGATTGTTGACTATGAATTTCATTAGGATTCCTCTTTATGACCAGCCAAGATATTTCAAAAAGATTTTTAAAAAGGCTTGCAAACTATTGTAGAGCATTTTAAGGTAATGGTGACATGGGCAATAACTTTTTGTAAAATTTAAACGTTGGTAATCAAACCGCCCATTTCTTAGTCTTGATTATTATTTAAAATAAACTCATTTCAATTCTTACAGATGCAGTGAGTAGTTTAATGCAAATACATTACACAGCTGAAGATTTGATTTTGGCCACATCAAAAGCAGCTCAAAGTATGTTCTCTTTAATCTTACGTAATGCTGCTGATTCTGTGGGAATTTGGAGAACAACACCAAAATTAAATTCTGTTCCTCAAGAGGTCAAAGATGAGTTTTTTAGTATAATATGTGCTCCACCAAATGAAGGACTATCTGATTATAAAGATCAGATTTGGAACATTTTAGGAACTCGATTAATTCATAGAAGATATAACCAGAAAAGAACTAAATACACATGACAGTATTTTTTGAAACTAACTAGTCACATTTTTCAGTTTCCTGTATTAAATTTTGTTGTTATTGATTACCCAATATTTGTGGTTGATTGCTATTTTGTTTTAAGTTTCTGGTGAATATATTGGTGGTAAAGTGAATATGAAAAGATCTACTAGACAATGATATCCCATAGAATGTCAATCACAAAATCTAACCAGAACTGCAATTCAGCTATGCCTAGTTTCACCGGTGCCATTACCCTTTGAACTGAAAAGCTTCCCATACTTTCCTATGCCTTTTGAACATTAATTTTATTTTAATAAAACCAACAGTCTTTTAAATCCTTCATGGTCAGAGATAATGATATGTACTGAAAGTTTTATCCTATGAAATGAAAACTTGGTCTAAAGTTAAAAAAAAATACAAGATGACATTACATCAGTAATCAACAAAATGTTTACCGGTAAATTTATTACAAATAATTAATCTTTTGTGAAAAATGCCAATGTTGAGATCACAACTTTTATTGATGCTTCACTGGGACAAGTATAGATTGGTTTGTCCAGATATGACATCAATGGTTTGCAAGTTTTTGGTTTGATTGCTGCCCTGTTTGCACAGTCAAGAATGGAGGCTTGGTGTAGAATTATGAATTATTCTACTAGAACTAGAATACATACAAGGCAGGAAATGAAATGAAATTGTTTGTTTGTGTTTTACAACTCTCATTTTCTGGTTGTTTAATAATATTAGATATTGCAGTAGTCCAAACTTACCATAATATCGACTATATGTTCTAATCACATCATGTTTGCTTGTCATCCAATCAATACTCCTACTTAGCAGCAATATTGTTATAAAATCTGTTCTTCAAATGCTTTTCTTGTCATTAAAAATATGTACGTTTCAACTATCACTGATTTCCTGCAGTTGCCCTAGTGGCAGCAGTACCACATTTTCGTTGAGTACAAGATCAAAGGTTCAATTGGATGACCGAGAGATTGTAATTTAGATATGAAAATATAAACGCCATTCTCTGGCCCTTATTTAATCCACAATCGAGGGTCCTATTTAAATTGTAGCTATTACATTTGATAGGGCCTCTTTGACACCATAAAGGGCTCCATGGGTAATTTTAACTTCAATAAACTCCCCTGTAGACATGGTTTGATCTCCCCTGTAGACATCTATATACATAAGTAACTGTTTGTCTTTAAAAAAGACTGACTGGGATCGTACCTTGATTAAGTTTGAAACTCATGTTCTAATACAAAAACATGTTCAATATTGTGTTCTAATACAAAAACATGTTCAATATTTCTATTTCATTAAATTTGTGTTACTTGCTCAGAATATACCTCAGAATGCACCAAATCAAATCCTGGGTTCCCTCCCTCCCCAGCAAGGTTAATCCATCCCGGAGTGACAGGAGTTGTACGACCTTAGGATTTCAGAAGCTACTGGTTAGAAGGAGGAGTATCCAAACCATGATTTCAGAAGCAGAAGCTTCTGGGTGGAAGGTGTTCACGACAAGGATTTCAGAAGTAGAGTGATCTGGACCACTATTTTAGAAGTAGAAGCTACTGAATAAATAGAGGCCTAGGACTGGGAGTGATAGCGATAAATAACATAAGGAAGTATTCATTTAATGTCAACCACAAACAGTGTGCTTAAACTTGAAATTGAATAAGGTTTTACATTCATAACTTCTAAGATATTTACCTGCAAATATAGTTTTATGTTTATCAATCAGTGGTTATGTATTTAAGAACCCGACCATTAAGGAAATGTATCTATAATTGGTAATAAACATGAAATTTTAGGATTATGAAAAATTTCACGAATGTTGTATTGTAATTTGGTTCTTTTATATTGTGATGGTACTTCATTTAATTAATGTCTAGATGTTTGCATAGATTTCCTTTCGGTTTTAAACCATTCAGCTTTACATGGCAACATGAGGCTGAATAATTGTTACAAATCTCAGAAAAACTACTTGGATTCCATGGGTGAATTTACTGTTTTCTGATGTATAAATTAAGTATAGTCTGTGAGAAAGAATTGTTGATAGATTATTTGCACCAGGTAAATATACGATAATTGGCTGACTTGTAAAGTTGTAACCATATTACTTTATACATGTAACAGGTAGTGTGATTAATTCATCCGTTGCTATGTGCTAATAAACATCTTTGCAAGAAATTTATTTTCCATTAAAAGCTGTTATGTTAAAGATAGAAGTTTTTGACAGAATTAACTTTATGTCAAGCTTTGTTAACATCTGATTATCTTCAAAAGAAACCAGTTCAGAATCGAGTCATTTGGCGGGTTTCGATTCCCCGGTTGTACTTGAATAGGAGTAGGGTCGCCTGCCCAACCTCGTGGGTTTTCTCTGGGTCCTCCGGTTTCCTCCCACTGCTAAAGACCCCTAAGCGCAAGCGAATTATGGAAATAAAATTTAACCATATGTTAGTCCCAAAATGACCTAGTTTGTGTCAAGTGGACGTTAAACCCCATTTCTCTTTCTCTCTCTCCTTCAGGATGTCATTTCTGATGGTAAAGGAAATTCTAATTAGAATTAGCCATTAACTGTTGAAAATTTTATGGAAAATGAATAACCATCAACATTTTTTTTACGGGCAAATCCTCAAAGGATTGGAAAGTCTTACCAAAATGAGGCCATATATTTTCGGATAGTCAAAAATGGCTAAAGGGTATTATATCAGAGGCGAGGCAGTCATAACATTCATACTGAATATGTCTTTGACATTTTCATAGAACATGCTGTGATTGGTTGAAAATAAATGTTTTTAACTAGCAGACTTAAAGTAGCTCAGTCTCTAACTCAGTATCATCCAAAGTCTTTGACATTGAAAACACAAATTATTTGTCAATTTAAATCAACATTGATGTTGTGATCTTACTGGGAAAAGATGGGCTTCTGATATCCAATATTTAAGACAAAATAAACATTTCACCATTGGTACACGAATCGTGTACCATAATGCGTTTCAGCGTCATTTGTAACAAGGGACTCGAAGAACGAGGCTAGGCATATTCGACAAGTCATGTCAAACGGTAACGTCATATTCTTATCTGGAGAGCATGCGCAATAAATACTATCGGTGTAGACTGGAATAACAAGACCCTAGAGATTGAAATTTGATCGAGACTTCAGGCGTATTTCGCCGAATATAACTGATTAGAAATTACAGTAAAAACAGAAACGATTATATACCAGTTTATATACACTCATAATACTCATATTACATTATTATATGTGTTGCGACCCATTTGTGTCAATTTCTAGATCCCAAATATGAGCGACTTAGCTCCTTTAAACATGGGATATTTCAACCAATGACAATACAAGTTGGTCATTCTACAATATACATGCTGGAACCTCATATGCTTTAAACATTGACTTCTTAGTGATTATTGCATACAATGATTACAATGGCTAGATTAAGGAGACAAAATGATATGAGAAGAAGAACTGTAGTGAATTAGTTATTTTTCTCATTCTCAGGATAATCATGCTGCACACATTTCACAGTGCCTGGTTAATTGTTTAAACAAGGAAAGGCAAAATAGAAAAATGAAATACAATGTACCTCTAATTGTTTTTATTCAACCGCTTTAGTAATTTTAAACCTTCTTGTAGAGAGTCTCTACAGATCCTAACCATGCATTTTTCAGACATTATTTAATTTTTTCCGGCTTTGCACTCTAAATTGTACTAAGATTTGAGTAATTAACATTTAATTAAGAAAATATACCCAAAATATTAACAGCAGATAATCATCCTGCCGGGCCTGATGTAATGGGTAACGGTAATGGCATGTAATCATTACATGTTTTGAAGTAATGGTCAAATAATGAGTAATGGAAGATTACAAAAGTAATTAGCACTGGAAAATGAATTGGAATAAAAAGAGACTGATCAAAAGATATTAACCAACACTGACTTGTAAATACTGAAGAGAATTGAACCATTTTGGATTGATACTTCTGTTGGGGATTCAACTTTCAGAATATCATAGTTTGCAGGGTAATTAAAATCCTACAAATGATGATCAGAGGCTTTGAATATAGAATACACATATTTTTGGGCTGGAATGGCAAGTAAGGGCTAAAGGTTGAAATAAAAGTCATTTGATGACACATTTTAGTCAAATCATGTATTTGTTATATAGCACAATGATAATTATATCCAATTCTGTAGAAATCTATTTTTGAAGATGACGATACTACGATACTTTGCCGGCCATACATTTTTCTAAATTCAAATAAATAATATGAACTTAAATAAATATATATTAGAGATAAAATTCAAGTGTTCAAAATTTACTTTCAGATTTGTGGACAGCTAGTTTATATGAAGCCTCAGCAGGATATTATAAGTGTGATATGTGTGAAGCAAAGTTTACGTGTAAACGTTACCTACGAGATCATGTTGTTGGTAAACATGTACAACCTACTTGTGTCTGTGTTTGTGGCAAGGCATTTCAATGGCGTAAACAACTCACAAGACATAAAGTGAAATGTGAAATATTGCTAGCACAATCAAATACTTGATTGCACTGACAGTCAAATGTAGACCTATGTAATACACTTAAAGGACCACGTGGTGATAGGGTACCTGCCTAACATGGCCTTATAAGTTATATACAAAGATAATCAAAAGAATATAATTTTCCTACCATTGTGTTAAGATATTGAGAATGTTTTGGGTAATTTACCGGTAATTGTTTTGTCTTCCATTTGTTTTTTTATCAAGAAAGTGATTGAAAGGAATACTTTGTGTAGGCAAGAGGAAAAAAACTTTTTGGGGATGGACTATTTTGACTTTGTAGATATTTTTGTTAGTAATTTTAGATTGCTTACAGTAGGCAAAGGATCTATTATTGCTTCTTGTCATTTTAACTTTAAAGAGGCATTATTACTGTCAACAAAAAAGAAAATGAAAACACTATAATGTGTCTGATTCATAATGAAACTTAGAATATGTTTTATATATATATATCAGATCTTGCATACATTCTATTAACTTTGAACACCCTCAGCGGAACTATATGGCCAAATCAATGTGAATTAAAAATTCTTTTTTTTTTGCTGATGTGCGGAGATCTTTACATTGCTAATGCCTGTTTAAAACTATTATAAACTTGTAACCTAATGAGGAAATAAGGTTTGATGAAACAACCTTACTGCAGAGCATTCACTTTTCCTAACTAAACAGCAGAAGAACTTCATTGACAGTTATCTCAGAATTCTTCTTCAGAATAGGCAGTGGTCAATGGTTACCTTAATGTATGTGTTACAATAAACAAAAAACTAGTGTGTAAAGAATCAAATGTAGGCATACTTAATAGATTTGTGAAAATATATGATTTTATAATTAAAGAAAAAAAAACAAAAAAAAAACAGTGGGGGAGTCAATGGGTACTAATTTTAAAATGGTGAGCCAAATGTGGCCCAAAATGTTTTATATTAATTTTGGTGATTTTTCTGCAACCCATCTAGTTTTATAGTGTAAACCTTCCTAATGCCCCTCCTGCCATTACTTGTATCAATAAAATTGTAAAAAATATTGTTATTTTTTTGTCCAAATATATTGAAATTTGAACTTTTAATTGGGAGTAATGGAACCAAAGAATTTTTGAAAAACTGAATGTAAATGGTTCTTTCTGGAGTATTATCCTGAGTACAACTACAAAACCACCAGGGACGGCAACCCATCAAACCATACAGATATAATTCCAATTAGGTATAAAAACATGACGTAAATTCAAGACTAAAAAGGTCCCCCAAACTATGTGAGAACATTAACTTCTTTAGGGGCCCCCCAAACATGTCATACTCCCAGGACCTGTCAAAATATACCAGTCTTTGATCTTGATTGAAAAGTAAAGCCGTGTAAATTTCCAGCAATTAAACATGAGGATCATTTTAACCAAGATCACAATCCATATCTTTAAATGTATACATATGAATAAATATTAAACTTTTCTAAAATACTGAAAATCAAGTACACATACAGTTAAAGAGTCATACTGAGTTATTCACCATAAAACAACTCCAAGACAAATGACTGTTTATTGTAGATATTGAAGCTTAGAAATTGGGATGCAGTATAAATTTGTTTCTTATTCAATAAAAGTTGAAATAATATAAATGATATTTCTTAATTTGCACATTAAGATTTTAAAAGATTGAGAATCAACCACTGGTAAATCAAAAATAGGGACTTGTGTGTGGCAAATGACTGTTTATTGTAGATATTGAAGCTTAGAAATAATTTAAATGATATTTCTTAATTGCACATTAAGATTTTAAAAGATTGAGAATCAACTGGTAAATCAAAAATAGAGACTTGTGTGTGGCATTGTTCTTGTATCGTTGGAGTGAGAGTTCTATTCTATGATGGTATTTCAAAAAGTTTAAAGTACTTTTAAAACTAATAATCAAATATATTCATTAATTTGAATAGAATTTAATAAAAGAATATTGTTATATTTGTTTCAGATAATTATATGGGAGATTTTCTGTCTGTGACAACGGCAAACAAAACTTTTATATGTCCGATATGTGGCATTAGTTTGGGTAACAAACAGTGTTTGAAAGATCATATCAATGGCAAACATTTTGATCCGAAGTGTAGATGTGAGTGTGGTCAGACTTTTCATTGGAGAACTCAACTGTTACGCCATCGCTTAAAGTGCAGTCTATCAAAATCATAGACTCATACATTATGATGTATAAAAGGTAAACAATTGTTAGTCATCTGGATACAAGAGTTGCATATTTAAATAACATCCCCTGCTACCTCAATTTTCAGTGCCAAGGGAAGGAATTGATTCAGGTTTATGAAGTGCACAATATTTTGTTATGTGGTTTGGATTATTTGGAATGTGTTTTGATGAAAAGAATTTTTGTCATAATGGAATGTCAGCCAGGAAGATGAAGATCACAATAAGTGTTTTTTAAAAAATAGTTTTATGAATATACACCCTCTGAATGGTATTGTTCTTTTAATTCCTGAATCTGTGCTTGAAATAAATGAAGTGGGATTATTCTCCTTTTCCCAGAGCCCAGAAGACTGGAAATTAGATTTATGCGAGCTTTTGTTTAACAGGAATTATGTT